GGCCTCGCCCCGGACCGGCCGACCGCTCGCTTCCGCCGACCAGGGAGGGGCGCCCGCCTGCACCCGGCGCCGGGGAAGCCCCTTTCCCCGGCTGCGCGCGGTGCTGCCCCGGGGACCGGCCGGTTCGTTTCCCGGGCCGCGGCGGCCGGAGAACTAACTTGTGTCGGCGCCCGGACGCGGAGCTCCGCTGGGACGCATCCGTCATCCGCCCAGGCGCGAGTGTTAAGCGTTGACACTCCCCGGCTTTGGAGGGTTTAGTCGGGCGCCTCGGAGCTTTAGTTACCGTGAGCTGCAGCTGCTGCGGCTGCGACACGGACCCTGCAGTTGACCGGGCGAACCGGCCTCGTCCGCCGGCCAGACCCACTGCCCCTGGGGTTGACTGTGCCGGCCCCTCCTTGTTTCTGAGCCTGGACCACTCCCCACCCCTAGGCCGTCCGCTGGTGGAGGGGGAAGCGTCAGGGTTTCAGTGTCTTGGAGAGGCTGGAGACCCCGGGGGAGTCTGTAGTAAAGAGCTTATTGCAGATGTGGTTAGCATTGCATCTGTGTGATCTTTATTAACTCCTGAAAAGTTAATATCAGGAAGTTGATGAAGAGGCTTGTGGCATCTTTTCAACAGTGACAATCCTAGGAGGAGGTCCAGGGAGGAGTTCTTGGCTGTCACAAGTTAACCTGTACCTTTCAGTATATAAAAATGTACTGTGGTAGAATCCATTTGTAATAACTAGAGTGGATTCTTAACTCAGTCCACTAAATTCATGCCAAAAAAGACCAAATTTTCCTTTTCAGGGTGTTTGCAGCTTTAAACATTTCAGACCTCATGGAATGATGAAGACCTTTTAATAATTTTTTTTCCGCAAGATTTATTGACAAAGGGAAATGGGATATTGTGGTTGTTTAAAAATACTTGTTTTAGAACATCAGGTGGTCTTTTACATAGTTCTAAAGATGTTTGCTCCATTTTCTGGAAGAGAAATTGAAAATGACAAAACTAGCCCTATTCAGGAATGCCAATAGGGGTAATGTGGTTGCTTGGTTGTTTTGTGACAGGTTCTCACTGTGTAGCCCAGGTAGGCCTCCAGTTCACAGCCAGTCCTCTGCCTTGGCATCCTGAGTGGTGGGATTACAGGTGTACATCAGCATTCCTGGCTCTGATGGATTATAAAGAGGTAGTAGAATTGGAATATCATGCCACCTCAAGACAATTAAAATATTTTATTAGTGCTTATTTGTAATAAGCTTTGTTGTCCTAGTAACTGTTAGGTGGTAATACCTTAATTCGATGAAATTTATTTGATACTTTGTCAGCAGATCCAGTATAAATTCTGTCACTTGCCAAAAATAAACTTTTAAGATTTACCAACATAACTAATGTTTAAAAATGTATAAAGAGAGCAAAAATCTTTTTATTAGCTTTTCAGGCCAAAAGTAACCTAAGCAATATAAAGTGTAGCATGTAAATTCTGAGTGCAAAAAAGGAACTACTTTTTCCTTTTAATAAAAGCTAACCTAAAAACTTCTGAGATCCAGCCTAGAAATCTCCTTTAGGGGAGATTCTGACCAGATACTCCGATGGTAACTCCTGAGTTTCCCCTCCGTTGTTCGTTTTTTTTGGTTGTGGTTACGCGGTTTCATCCATTATGAGAATCCTGCTTCTCTTAGATGCGGATCCACCCTTGAACTTTTTTGGATCCCTCTAAATGGCCTGAGATAGACTAGCGCAATCCAGTTTACCAAATGTAGGTTTCACCTCTACCCCAGGAAGTTTGAAACCAAAAATCTCTGTCCATCTGTGGCACTGTTTCTCCTGCACTGAGTATTCCAGACTATAAAGTCTCTGACACCCTGGTCCTTCTTTACCTGGACTGTTTTAGGTCTGCCCATCTGTGAAATACGTTTCTTGCCTCTGAGGCTCTCTACCTTTTCTTGAGGTGAATGATGTGAAAAATGACCATACTGTTCCACTCAGATTTTGTTATGTGATTTTGTTCATTGTCTTGTCCGAACACTTTTGCATGCCTGTTGTGTGGCAAGTATGGTTTTAGTTGTTAAGGAAACACTCCTTATGCTTAACCTGAAGGACTTTGCAGTCTCATGAGAGCGATACACATTAATCAAGTTTACACAAATATATAAATAAAAATTGGGCTATGGTCTGTGAAGGAAAACCATGGGGATGGGGAGAAAATGGAGGTATGTACTTGATCATAAAATCCTCACCAGAAGAGCTGACTTGAGCTGAAATCTGAAAACCTGAAGAAGCAAATTTGTTGTTTTGGAAGTGGAAAAGTAGCATATACACAGGTCCTCAGGCAGGGGGAGACAGGAGGATGAAGGATGGACTGGAAGAAGACTAATGGAACAGGAGAGAGAGAGAGGGGGAAAGGCAGTGCAAAGGCAGGAACGGGTACTCTAGCCAGCTGAGGGTTTAGATCTTAACAGCAGTGGGAAGCCATTGAAGGAGTTTTACTAGGAGAGGCATAATCATATTTGTGTTTTGAAAAGGCCACTCCAGTTGCCTGCAAGAAATACATACTAACTTGGTGAGTGGTAACATCTTAAATTTGTTATAACTAGATAGTAGCAGACCTTTGAAGGTTATAGTAGTTCTAATATGGTATAAATGTTACAGTGGTTCAGGTGACACCTGCCGTTTTTTTTTTTTTTTTTTTTTTGGTTTGGCCTGGTAGTGGAGAAGAATGTAAATGGATTTAAATAGTGATCGAATATGGGATGTCCAGTATGGTAGATTATTCATTATGTTATGAAAAGTTAGGAAAGTAACATTAATAGATCCTTTTGTGCTTAGGGTTAATGAGAAGGCTTTATGAAGGCTTTTTCTTCTGGATATCTTAAGGTCACTTTTAAAAGACAGTCTGTTTAGACTTACAAAGTACAGAAAATCCTTAAATTATGTGTATCTCAGACTGAACACTATTTTCCCCCAGGTCTTATCCCTGTGAGAATATTTAAAGTTCAGTTCTAAGCTCTGAAAATAAAGGCTTGTAATGGAAACTTTGATGAATCTTTTGTTTCACTGTTCCTGTGAAAACATTCAGTACTGCTGAGATGCATGTATAATCCGGTGGTCCTCTATGCACGCGCTACTTTGGCCTATGCATTGATGCCAGCTAGGTTCAGGGCGTACATGACAAGGCTAATTTGGCAACTGCTGCTAGGCCAAGAAGTTTTATGCGATAAGCAAGCTGACAGGTTTGGAATGAACATAGCTTTAATGAGGAATAGTGGCTGGCTGACAGTGTTCTCACAGCCAAGTTCCAGCTTCTGAAAGTCATTTTGATGATTGGCTGTAACTTGAAAATTCTCTTGACCATGAGTTTCTTGAGTGTTTCTCACATTTGTTTCAAATAGAAACTTCATTTGTAGATTAGGGATGGAGCTGTCACTTAGCAAGAGTGTAATGTCTCAAGTGGTCATTGTCCTCTAGTGCTCTGGCCTATCTGCTTCAGTATGATTCTTGTTTGCTGGGTCCCAGCCTCCCATCTCAGCCCTCACAGATTCAGCAGCAGCAGCGTCATCATCAGAACTCTTAAGAGTTAGATCGCTAACTCTAAGAAATTTGATTTTATAGATCTCTTGAACTTAATGCAAACTTTTGTGGACGTGCACTTTTGTTCTGGGTGGAAAATCAGAAGCTTTCCTGTTTCCTAGTGATTCCTGTAAATTTAAGGCTTCGACTGTCGGCTGGGCCCTTCAGCGGCAGTTAGTGTGTCTGCCTCGTGGGGCAGCTCTTCTTTTCTCTCTGGTGCTGCATGTGCAGAAAGCAGGCATTAAAATTCTTTATCAAACATAAGGAACATTTATTTATGCTCAAGACCCCATTGGTCTAGACCCTGATAATATTGGGCAGATTCCTAAGAATTTTTTTTTTTTTTTGTATTTTAGGGAAGGGTCTACAGGGTGTTCAGGGCCTCACTACAAGATGGGACTCGTAGAGATCCACCTGTTTCCAGCCTCCCAAGAGTTGGGATTACAGGTGCCCAACACCACGCCCAGTCTCTATTGCTGTCTCAGCCCCAGGGGTAGGGCCAGCACAGCAGGCCAGCTCCCGCACCTGCTTGCAGACGCTTTAATCTGCTGAGCTATTTGGCCAGCCAGAATTTCTGTATTTATACTGTAAGTTTGCCCTTTACTATGTTAGTGTACTCTCTCCAGTGACCTAAGTAAGGTTGGCTTTTGGCGTTCCCTAATATTCCCTCCTCAGTAGAAAATAGTGAGACTATCTAATACAAAAAAATCCCTGCTCTCAAGGCTCACTTTTTACTGCAGAGCAGGCACGGGCTGTTCTTTAATCCAGTAGTGATATAAAGGGATAATACGAGAACTATCACAAGGATATGTTTCATAGTTAAACCAATGGGTGAAGGTT